AGTGGATGTTTTGTCAAACAATTAAAGTAACGCAGTGACCCCATTGGGGACGGAGGCCGGGTGGCATGAAAACAGCAGGAAGGGCGAAGTGCTAACAGCCCAGTGAGAGCGAAAGCGGCGGTAAGTAGTACGTTCGTTAACTCACGTAGGCGCGCAAGTGCGATAGCATATCGCAAAGATCAGTGATTCCATGCAGACTGTCGCGATGGGTCATGGCTGACCGGCGCTGCATAGCGATAGGAAACCCAAGCGCCGTCCCAGTTATCAGGCTTCCGATTCATAAGAATCATAACTCTTTAGATGTCCCGCAGAAACGCGGGGCCAGGTAGCCGTGCATTCGGAGTCGCACGTCCACCAACACGATCGATCGTGTGAAATTAGTATATTAATTATTAAACGGTGAATAATCATGAGATGGATGGAATATGTCGAACGCAAAGCAAGAGAAAATGCACAAGGAGACGTTATGAAGATTATGAAGACTAAAGTGGCTAGGCGCTTTGAAAGCACCGTTCATGGATCGTGATGGTACGGGAGACGGCGTCATTTGGAGTGCTAAATTCGACATCGGTGGGGCAAATGGAATTGCGGAACGTCGGGGCATCGGTACTTGACTGATAAAGTCGGTGGTCGTGCTATTCTCACAGGCCCCGAAACAACATCTTGTCAACTTTGTTATGTAAAGAGTGTACTTTTGAAAGAGGGCTTACACTGCTGGAACCGTCTTCGTGCATGGAGCGACGAATGTTCACCACGAGATTTCCCATAGCTAAATCCCTCTGGAAGGTAATGGTGGTCAGTTTCCATACTCTTCGGCCATAATGAACTCACAGGTCGGCGTGGTGATAATTCTATGAGCTCGCCCCGTCCACGGGAAACCATAACCTTCCTCTGAGTGACAGATCGTAATGCCTCAAAAAGGTTAGTTGGTCTGTCGTCAGTGAGTGTGGGTGCGGACAGCTGCTTCCGTACTGTTGACCGCATGTGTAAGCTAGCGAGCGGGGACACAAAGAAATCCTATCAGTGAGTGCGTTCAGAGACAAGAGAAATTGTTTGTGCTTTACTTTGTGAGCATGGATATGGGGTACATGGGACTAAGGGTCTGAAAACATTTTGGTAAATATCCCAAACGTGTGAAGAACTCGCGTGAACGAACTCACGATTGCGAATAGGAGAGCCCCGAAAGCGAAACCACGGCTGGCGAACTAAAACCATGGCGTCGGCATAATGCATTCTACTGGGTGAGATAATTTCAGCCTATGCTTACGATGCCTATCGTAATAAGAGATTGAACACAGGTGATGCTGCCCGTGGCCACAGACCAGTACACCATCGTGTTGATGGCCCTGTCTGTCCTATTACGAAGTCAGTCTGGCCCTGACATGCTACACTTCAGTCATTGACCTACTTTTTGAATCCAGTCTTCCGGTGCCAGAGCAGGAACGTCATCAACATCGCTATTAGAGCATCACATGTTCCCTGACGATTCACGGATAAGTAGAAGCACTGCCGAAGATGAGAGTCATATACCTGTATCGTTAGCCAAACGGTCGCTACCCAATTCCACCTGTGAGCGATTTCATTGAAGGACAGTGATGTGTCGCTGGCATGTCATGGTCAGATTAAAGGTTGCGACGGCAAGCGTGTGATGACACGTACACCACAATCAAAAGTGCTGAGAATGAATTACGTGTCTTTGAACGAGGACTCTGAAGGGGCGTAAACTTCGAACTCACTTGTGGCAAAAGCTGTCAAGTAGACCTCAGTGTATTGGTGTAGGACGTTCTGGGTTGGGGAAACTCACTAAACTGCGTGATAACAAGGGCTTGCTGTGTTTATGGAACAGGTAAGCAATCGCTGCAGAGGGCGCCGATCAACGTACCAGAGGAACAACGATATAAACATTCCCAGAAACTAGCGACAAAGTCACGAAGAGTAACACTCGTTAATTCTCACAAGAACTCACGGCCCCAAATACGATTCACAAAGAAAGACTGAGCGATTAGGGATCCCACCGTTGTACTAAGGTGATATGAGAAAAATTCCCTGAGGGAAGCGTTGAGTAGGGGGAATGTCATCACTCATGGGGGATTGCGTACCATTTCGGCTTTGCCAATGCCTCGGGGTTGAAGTAATTTTGGATGTACCACCACCAAATCATTTTAGTCATAAAGACCCTTGAAAGTGCGAACCACAGGCACGTCGGGACGGATATATTCAACAACCCATCGATGTCACTTACGTCTGAAAGGCAATGGCAACCCTTTAGGAAGGGCAGAAAGTTATCAAAAACCGGTTCTTTTGATCACTCGAAGCACACTACGAACCAGAGAATTCCAACCTATTGTCACATCAGGAACTTCAGCCCCATCAACCCGAGTGAACAATCAACTCGGACATACCATTCCCCGCGTCCATTTACTATCCCTAGGAAAACGTTTGTGGTACAGGACAACTTGTACGGTAAGGATCCCGAAGAGACTGAAACCATCGTGAATGCCTGGGTTCAAACATTGGTTCCATCTGAAAAAAGCATTCTTACAACGTAGAGCCGACGTTCCCGACGAAAGTGCTACCTATGATATCTTCCAGGGGGCCCTTTACAATGCGAACCATGACAGATGAACGCCAGGGTGAAGGGCAGGGCGAGCCACTTGGGGGAGCGAAAAGTGTTACAAACCGTTCACTTGCATATGCTGATTCATATATAACTGGCGGGACGCCGTCTAAATGCCCGCAACTCTCCCGTTTGGGTTTGGGTTTCCCTTTCAACCTTTTTGTTGTATCCCTTCCTTACTTCCTTTTCTTTTTACCTATGTGATGAGATGGGACGATCGTAGATCAGCTAAAAATGCTGCCAGCAGGATCTTCAGGGCTGCCAGGGTTTGACTTGTTCTGAGTAACTGCACCCGCACCCGAACCTCGAGAATTCCTCCCCATGCAACCAGTTCTATAGCGGACCCTTACCTAAAAAAACTGAATTGAAATTGAGTAGATCTGATTCACATTTTGAAGATCTGCTGGCAGACATTACTGATGTGGTTAGGGAAGGGTAAAGTCAGGCTGTTCAAAGAGGTGGGCTACTGCCGATCTGGATCGTTGACGAGGCGACAGGACGTGGGGGCAAAGGGGCGCGCCGCCGAGATCCAATAATATCATTGAATTGATGGCAATATCCGGACAACTCCGTTACAATACAGCTAAGGCCGTAACTGAAAAACTGGACCTCTTGACCGATCATGACAAATAGACAAATATAATCATGAACCACGGAATGATCAGGTACCACGTGAATGGAACGGTTCAAAATGACGACAACTCCGCTGATTGACAAACAAATGAACAAATGAATTCGGCCAACTCCGCTATATGACGAAGTTCGGGTGCAAAGTGCGACATCACATGTGTGTGTGTGTTTCTCTGGATATTTAACGTGCTTTACTACTCCCGTGTTGGACTCTGGGTTATGCAGAAATTTGAAATAGCCACTGTTGAAAGTGAATGTTCGTGTGCGAAAATCACCTCAGGAATTGAAATTATAATTATATTGTAATACAATACATTAGCGCCGCACAGCCATTCCGCGTTCCGCGTGCTTGTGTATACACTCAGCAAAAAAGGGGTGACGATTGATCTTATGTAGGTTGCGGGAAAATCATTACTTAAGTAATCCATTCAATTCCGAACCAAAAGGTTTGACCTACGTCCTGGGCCCGGAACCAGACTCGTACCCAGTCGGAGGAGCTCCGTGGACGCGCAAAATAATAGCTCTTTACGCAATGTTCTCACGTTCTGTATTCAATACAAAAGATCACATGATACGGAGTTAAGCACATAGCCGATCACCTACTCCGGAAATTTGGACGCGACACTTCGACACAATGATTTTCGTGAGGCCCATTCCAAAAGATAAATAGAAGATAATCAATATGTTCATGTGTTGATCACTACAGTATCCCCGCCCAAGAAATTAGCCGATGAGGTGAAAAGGAATATTATTCTGAGCGCGCGATACAAAACTCCAACATAATTTGAGCACATAAAGACAAAAAGCCCATGAATCGGGTTGGGCTGAGTTGGGCTGGGTTAATTTTGGATGGGGTTAACTACTACATTTGTTTCGGATTTTTTCTGTGTTGGGGAGGGGAGGGGTGTGGTGATTAGAGCCTTGAAGCGAGCACTGTTTACCGTGGGAGGACAGAGGCCGGAAAGCGCCGTAGCACAGCCATACTACATTTTGCCCCAGTCGGAGGCACCTACTACTCGTGACCCAATCAATATAAAATGGTATCAAGGGTGCCCCCACCCTACCTACCTTCTTAGATAGCAATCAACCGTCTGAGTGCATGCACTGGTGCACTGGTGCACGAAGGAAAATATGATTCGGAAAATAAGATTTCGGAGGGGCCCGAAGGGCCCCAGAAGCTCTGGGGTGCCCGTGACTGAGTTTTCAATTACAATACATTTTCACCAGCACTTCGGCGCGGTTCTATTGCCGGCATCGTCTTCCGATGCGTTGTCATTGCCGTCACCATCGTCAACATCGTCGAAGTCAATCTTCACCAGTTTTGCCCATTGTTTCTTCGTTCCTTTTTCTGCTTATGTCTTTACAGCATTATTGTCTCCTCTGCTCACGCCATGTATCAATCTCAATACTATTCATTATTTTTGTCATCGTCATCGTCATCTAAGTCTAATTCTCTTCCCGCTCCACTCCAGTTTGTTGGCAGTCGTTGGGTTCACATCAGTCCTACTGCCATCTTTTTTGTTGCATGCTCAATATAATAGACTTGATGCGGGCCTTACACTCAACGCTCGCCGCTTGGTATAATAGAACTGAGGTTTGTACGTACTTGCCACATTAGAAATCATGTGCAGCAAAGGAGTAAGTTGCCTTTTTGGTGTGACTCCAACCATTGAACAACAGTAGAATATGTGAGGCACTGATCAATGGTATGAGGGACACGTGGCAAGGAAAAACTTTACATCTCCCCGCACCACTAGCTCAGCAAGCCCTCGTTCTCAGCGCTAGCTGGTGCACGCTGTCTCCTCTTCCGTGGTTTCGACGTCTGGGTCGCTTTACGTTTGGAACCTCGACTGGTTTTGCTCAATCAGCGGTTTCAGCCCCATATCAAGGGCTTACCTGGTGGTCTTCACTTGATCGTTCGTCACCGCTGAGAATTGGGTGGCGTTGGGTTGAGGAGGTGTTGGGGTCGTAGCCGAAGCCACAGATCTAGAATATTGTAAGGATCAATCTTTCTTCTTTTGTTCATGTACTTACGCCACTGCGGCATTCTCAGACATCCCCACCTCTCCCTCTCCATTTCTACACTCCCTCGCGCTAGAACATGACCTGTACATACAAGACTCAGCTCGTTTCAGACATTGAGAAGGCTCACATCGACGATTCAGCTTGAGGCATTCTTTCTTGTGTCGCAGTCACATCGGCGTTGTTCGCTTTGTTCGAGGTAAGTGACGCAAGCTCTTCGCACTTCTTCTCCACTTGATCTGATGTTAACGCGACCCACTTGATGTCTCCCTTGTTCCATCCATCGAGCACTTGACGCAGATGGTCAACATTTGCATTTTTAGGTTCGACCAGTGTGCCACCCGGATAACTGGACATGTCAATCGCAACACGGTGTTTGGTCATTAGCCTCAAATAATTCTCAGGCCGCCACTCCATTGATAATCTAGGTTTTTCTGTTATCTTGCCTTTATATTCGGTAAGCGCCTGTGAGAAAACTTGAATGGCACCACTCACGGAGGCCGAGCCTGGTTGCCTCTGCCACTTCACGGCGTAAGGTAACAGCCTTTGTCTTGAAGGTTTGGGCCATGGCTTATGCCTGCGTTAGTGAGTAATTCAAGATCAGATTCGGCCACATACGTTCTAACATGCCGATTGCATGTGCTTCCATAACGCAAAGATGCCATTCCATATCAATGTTTTTCAGTGCACCCCAGTAGCTCTTTGCTTTATCTGTTGCCCAGAATACCGGTGTGAATAAGTCATCACGATGCCCTCGAGTCATCATGATGAGGATCTCGACGCCACATGACTGGTGAGCCATTTTCCCCTATTTCTTTTTAAGTAGTTGGCCATCAATTGCTTGAGTGCTGGTCACTTACGATGTTTATCAGCTCATCCCGCGCGTGAGTTGCGATCGAGTTCATGGATAGCTCAGGTGAGATGATTGTTTCCTTCAACGCACGATTCTGCCTTTTCACCATAACACCATCCAGGATGACTTGAGCATTGTATTCCTCTGTCGAGGTCACCGGGTTCTGAACATCCTGGTACGTGATTCTCTTTTCATTGATATCTTCGAGGATCTGAACATATTCCTTCTTGTAAGGCAGCTGTGCCAATCTACCGTCTGGAGTTTTCATAGTAAGCATACTCTCCCTTTGTTTGTAAGCCAATTTTTTTTACCTTTCAGGCGTTGTGCCTGGGCCTCAGCATGAGCCCAAGCATTGGGAATCATTGGCTTGCGCGTCTTCTTTGGCTTCGACAACTTGTAGATCACCTGGGTTCGAATTTGACGTTGGGAATAGTGATGACCACGACGGGAAAACTCGAGTGCAATGGCCGAGACTTGCGCTTCAAAATTTGTTTTCAGTGCAGCGACTCGCTCATTGAACGCCTCCTTGACTAGGTCCTTTTCTCTCTGCCCAGTTGCTAGCACCATTGGCACATAGTAAGTCGCACTGCTCAGATTCGAAACTTTGAATCTCACATTACCTTGCCGTGAAGGGGCTGACATCTTAGAGTGCAACTGTCAAATGCAAACAGGAAACTGAACAAACAATAACAAACCAACCCCCATTCAATTCAAAAGCAAATCCCCTGTTTGTACATCCGCGCTTATGAATTTAATAATAATTCTGAATGACTTTATTTTGTGTATTTTCAGGAATGGCAGAGCTACATATTAAATGTATAGAGTTACCTTCGGTTCGCTGCTGCCACCTTTGCGAGCAAGTATGCCTCGCTTGGGGAACGATCAAACCGTTTTATCAATGTGTTGCGATACTCAACTTCATTGAATTTTACGGATTGGGCCAAAAGAACGATAACGCTTATGTCCATTTCAGTAAGCTCTCGATCCTTGTCGTGATGTCCGTAGAGTTCGCCAGCATGCGATGTGGAAATGGGTGGCGCATGCCTTGGGTCCTTTGATGGAGTCGTCGCCATCAAGTTGGTCATGCCCAACTGTGAACTGCTCTGCTCTAGGCTCTGTACGTTTTCTTGGGTCAATGCTGACACCACAGGAGCAGTGGCCGTGGCAGCCGGGGCATAGGAGGGACTGTGCCCGACTTCGAATGAATAGGAGTGAACATGGTGCGTTGTTACGACTTAGTAGAAGTACTTACATCTTTTCGGCACTTCTACGTTTGATGCAAGTGAAACTTCTGCAAGGTGCGCACCGATTGCCTCGGGGTCCGCACTCTCGTTGGCTAACCTCTCCCATATGTTGGATGAAACAGACGATGACCGCAGTGTTGCTGTGGGACTTGGAGGCATTGGTGTGGCGGTAATCATGGAGGGATCAGGCATCTTGAATGAGAGATTCGACCTGGAGGTGGGTCCACGATCGCCCATCGCCTTGCCTTTGCTAATAGGGGAGTATGGTGTTGTAGGACAGGCTGTCCTTGGGCGAGTTGGAGCCAAGACCACACTGGGAGTACTGGGAGCTACGTGTTGTATAGCAGCAGTACCATCCCCACCCTGAGTGGCATGGGGAACCATCATCTGAATTACAGGTGCGCTAACAGATTGTGGAATCTTTAAGAAAGCGCCCAGGAGCTCCAACCGCAATTGCGACCATCCCTCCTCGGCTTCGATGGTTTTTGGCAGAATGATGTTGATTGGCGCCTTTCGGCCCTCATAATCGATTAACGCGAAACTGTGGTGTCCTAAGCGATCCAGGACAGAAGTCTTTTTTGTAGGTAAGATTTGAAGTCTTGCACACAATCAAGAACTACGCACCAGCGCTCGGATACTCCACATCTGAGTGCGCACTTCCAGCAATGGGGCTAAGAGGCTTTCCATCACCATACGTGCCATCTCCTTTGTGAAAATCTCCCGTGGAATAATTTGTTCGATCTTTTGTGGGACGTGTTCCCCAAACCTTGGTAGGGTATCTGGATCACTGTGAGCATGTTCAGGCCATATTTGTGAATGAATGACTACTCACCGTTCATTTTCCATGCCACATAGAACTCAAGAATGTAGGCCTCGCTTATTTTTTGATTAAAAATTCCTATTTCTTTGTCATCCAAGCGGTATACTGCACGGCTTGCTCGGACATAGTTCTGAAACATGTCCTTCGCAGTACCCCTTGATTTGGCATAGTTTAGTTCTGTTCACAGGTCAATCATCTCCAAAACTCAGGGCTATACACGTACTGACCATCCTGCCTGTCTTTGTCACTCAACCGAAACATGTTGTGCAAGGCTGCGTGGCGCTAGTGTGATGTTGAATTGGATTTGTCTCAACTGAATTGCCACTGAACATCTCGTGAGTTCAATCCTCCTCGACTATCTAGTATCTCTATTCTAACCAACCCACACACACTGCAAGCCAACAATTCCAGATTATCTGGCCACTGCCAACTTATTGCCTCCTAAGCGAGCTCCGACAACCACCTAATTTCAATATTCGTGATAACCCTGTGGTAAGCATTAAAAATTTTATTCTTGACGCTCCATGGCATTCCTTCCAGTCTACTCTACAGGAGCAGCATGGGAAGAAGGCGCAAGCATAACACAATCCTGACCAACTGGGCCACGGACTCACTGTCCCTTACTCGGAGCGGGGCAGTTGCACGCAAGAAGGCCCGACTAACTGTGGGTGATGCCCACGAGCAATTGATGAAAGGTAAGATTGAAGTCTCTGAACTTTACTTGATCTCATCATACCTTGGGCAGCTACTCCACGGGTGGTTATTGATGGCCTTTCGGAGATTCAAGATGGTGGGGTTGCGCCGGGTGACTTCTTAGATGATTGGTATGATGAGCCGGGGAGAGATGAGTTGAATCTGGTGGACGATGTAGGGCTTGATTTCGAGCAGTTACGTAAATTAATTTCAAGACTAGCTCCAAAGCCGTGAGTCTCCTTCTAAGGTTGGTATGATGACTACTGCAAATAATACCTGTCTAGGCGAAGGAAGGGCCACGAATGGAGTACGCGGATGTCTAGGCTCCATGCCCAGTGGATGGAGCAACTCGACACTCTTACTAGCCTCTACCTACAAATCAAGACTTCTAATTCGTCCTGTGTACCCGTCCACTACCCAGAACCTCAACCAGGTAGCAACTGGATTGAGATACAATGCATTGATATCTTTGGTGAGTTATAACCCAACCCGCACCAATCATAGCTCCTCACTTAGGCCACAGATGGCCGTTCAATCGAATACATACCATGGGACGAAACAGAAAATCGCACCCATGCACTCCTACGAACCGGATATCTTCCACCGACCCCAACAGACCCTCAAGTTGCCTTTTCTCTACGGACACTTGAACTGCTTCACTCGCTTTTTCGGGCAGCACCAAACTTCAGTATCCAAAACTACTCCCGACTGCTTGCTGACATGCACAGGGTAGGCCCATCTCGTTGTTCTTGACAGTTTCTTGTTACCACAAAACACTAGACCGTGTTCCAACCCCACTTGAGAACTCAAATTTCACTCGCGTTTGATGTTTATTACTGCATCCTATCTCGACTACGTGCTATGGTACAGCAGAAACTGGGACATGACACGCCAGACCACCGCCTCAAGACCTCTTGCCCAGCATGCCATCATAAAGTGAGCGCGATCATAGGTAAGCTGTCACAAATCTCATGGTGATGTTGGGTTCCAGGTCGAGGATGAGCCAGAGCTCCCAATCCAGTTTATCGTGACTGGCGATGGGAACACCTCCCTTTCGCGACTTCGTCACCACTTTGAGGGGGATTCTCGTATCTTTTTCAGCGACTATTACATCTCTCGGGGAGATGTTGATCAGTTTGCCAGTGCTCGAAAGCGTTCACAACCAAGTGCTTCAAGCCAGGTAAGTGCTTTTAGTACAGCCGTTGTATTCTACAATCACGGGTGGCCCCTATTCCACAGACGACAGAGGACCCACCCATATCGGAGGCCTGCCTAGCCTGGAGGAATGCCCGACCAATGCCGTCAAAGTCAAAGTCCGGAGCTTTGCAGGTTATGGACGAAACAGGTATTTTTTCGGTTGTTTGTAGGCATGGGATCATGCAATTTCTCCTTGACATGGTGCAAAGTGGAGAGCTGTGAGCAAAAGCTTAAAATGTTTTCGGTATAACTAATGTTGTCATATAGGGCAAAGTATCCCTTGGCTTCCGCTGAGAAGCTTATACGCACATTCGGTAAGAATATATTATTCGCCTATGACATTGCGTGTACATTCTCTGCGACCTTGTCGAAGTCGTCCATTGGGGCCTTGGCTAGAGATGCCAATTTCAGGTGTTGTACCGGTTCCTTTCATGGTGCTGCTCATGACAGGTCATGCCAGCTAGACTTCCTTATTACCTTACAGAATGGGGCAGGCATAGAAGATGGTGAAGGGAATGAACGAGTATATTCAGAGAGTAATGCCCTTGCCCCAATCATACGACATGCTTCCCCATACCACCGTCACCAGCGCATACATATCCACTTCTCCAAATGGGACGAAATTAAATATGAAAAATTAGGTGCATCTCCGTTATGTGTGTATATCACCCTAAATGCCTAACCTAACTTTGATAGGTGATTTCCTCTTGAACAACTTCAAATCTGCTACGAAGATTATTAGCGATGGCACGACGGTTCTTGACCAGACACAAGTGTTGTTCCCAGACTTTGATGCAGATCACGACTGCCCACAGTGGCTATCTGAAGAACGAGACTATATCTCCTCACTTCAATTGGAGCCCACCGATGAGAAAGTCAAGATTGAATATTTGGAAGCTATTGAGCATCTGGAACGCGCTGAGTATGTAAGCATTGATCTGTATTCACCGCTGAGCTCAATTATTCTACTAGAGCAACCACGCGTTACTGGACGTTGCAAATTGGAATGCCAGCAGCGTTATCAGCGCAATTTGGGCAGCATGTAGCACAAGCAATCGATACCCTTGAAACCGCTCGTTCAGCGGTAATGGCAATAGAGGCCCGATCATTGTTCATCCTCCCTTGGACGTCCGATTCCCCCCAGCATCTCGAAGCGATAGTTCTGCGTCAACAGCGAGACTATCATCACATTCTTGATGAGCTTGAGCAGCGAGCTATTTCACGTCAGCTTGAGCTTGAGAAGATTGGCTTGCCAAAAACAGGTGAGATTTATATCACTCGGCATTAATTCCATTAATACCACTATTCATGCCCATAGACTATAAAACTCGACAGCATATTTCCACATTGGTCGCCAAGCGGGGGAAATCACTGCAATCAACACTCCAGAAATATAACACCTTGGCAGCCTCGTTGAATCCCCCCAAACCATCACTTACGTGGCAGGACGTTACGGACCTCCACTTCCTCTCCGATATCATCCTGTTACGTGGCCGTGAGGACATCCGGGACAAGCGATGGTTTCAGCGTCATTTTCGTGATGCTACACGTGCATGGTACAAACTTCAACGCGCTCGTGAGGAGGTCAAGATTGTTGGGATTGAAGCTCATCGGATATGGGCTTCGGTGATCGAGGAGGAAGCTCACCTGCGTCAAGTCATTGAGACCACTCAGCACACCCACCCCGAGCTCGCCAAATACATTTCACTCATGGCTGAGTGCCGACTCAACGCAAATAGACAATTGCGTAGAAAACTGAAGCTTCTGGAGAAGCAGGGTGGTGTCAGCACACCTCTTCCAGCGATTCGCAGAGTGGGAAGTCCAGGTCCCATAGAGGATATGAACCAGGCTAATGTGTCAACCTCTGAATGTACGTCAAGTGTCCTCTTCACCATTCCCCGCATTTCTCAGCATAACTAAATAGTTACAGCGAACAATAATTCCTCCACAACTCAGACGGTGTCCGATCCTATCGCTGAACTGCAAGGTGATGCCCCTAGTAGCAGTCAGGGCCCTGTAATAGAGGATTTTCAAGGGATGGTGGCGCAGGACTGGGACGAAGAGATTGAAGATGTCGATGTCGATGTCGATGACGATGACGATGACGATGATGACCAGGATTACCATCATCTCCTTGGGAGGATTGTGAATGCATTAGAGAGTATGGATTTGGAATCGATGTAATAATTGCAACTTAAATGAACAACAACAACGATGACGATGACAAAAATAATGAATAGTATTGAGATTGATACATGGCGTGAGCAGAGGAGACAATAATGCTGTAAAGACATAAGCAGAAAAAGGAACGAAGAAACAATGGGCAAAACTGGTGAAGATTGACTTCGACGATGTTGACGATGGTGACGGCAATGACAACGCATCGGAAGACGATGCCGGCAATAGAACCGCGCCGAAGTGCTGGTGAAAATGTATTGTAATTGAAAACTCAGTCACGGGCACCCCAGAGCTTCTGGGGCCCTTCGGGCCCCTCCGAAATCTTATTTTCCGAATCATATTTTCCTTCGTGCACCAGTGCACCAGTGCATGCACTCAGACGGTTGATTGCTATCTAAGAAGGTAGGTAGGGTGGGGGCACCCTTGATACCATTTTATATTGATTGGGTCACGAGTAGTAGGTGGTCGGAGGAGCGAAGTGTCGCGTCCAAATTTCCGGAGTAGGTGATCGGCTATGTGCTTAACTCCGTATCATGTGATCTTTTGTATTGAATACAGAACGTGAGAACATTGCGTAAAGAGCTATTATTTTGCGCGTCCACGGAGCTCCTCCGACTGGGTACGAGTCTGGCCCGGAACCCACCGTAAGGGGAGACTCCAGGAGTAAAATGCCAGGATGAAAAGTCTTCGACGGTTGGTGAACAAAGAATACGAGATGAAAACAGGGCCTCCAGTTATACATTTTACGGAGGCGCGGCCGCCCTGTGCCTGAGAGGTATCCCACGCAAGAGTTGAATCACAAAATCGCCGGGAAGTTCCGCAATGTCTGCAGTCTCAGGCCATAACGGCCTGAAGCTATGGGCCCAATCCAACAAAGCTGAAAGAATGTTTGAGCATCCCTGCCCGTTATTGCCTTAGACTGATTCCCTTCTGCATATACACCTCTCCGATTCTTGGGTGCTTCATGGGAATAGAAGCGCGCGTCTCGTGGTCCAGGCTGAGGGCTCGACATTACGTGTGTGTATCACTATGCAGTCGGCAAGAAAGGTGGTCAGGGTTTATATGCGAGTGTGCGATGTTGTCTTTGAACATGGCCTATTCCGTCTCTACCGAGTAACCTTACAGTCGATGTTCCGGGACTTCCTGAACCTCCCAATCTCAACTGGGAGTGCTTGCAACAAGCCTACATGTTGGATTCATCTGGAGTTCACCCAGATGTAGCCAGGAAGTATCGCTTAGTGGTCGGCGCGATTGTTGCGGCCGATCAAAGTCTCTTGTTTCGAGGTATTGCCCGCACTGCTGACAACATCAAGTGCAGTGGTGTGCGCGCGATGCTCGATTATGTCATGAAAAGGTTCCTGCGTGAGGGCGCTCCTACTCATAAACAAGGGGAAGCCCACCTACGTGCCTGGAACTCCAAAGTGAGATAGCCTCGACACTGGTCAGGTTGAATAGCATGCTCAGGTCCAGGTCCACCAGTGTTGTTGGTGGGCGTCCCCCTTGTCATAAGCTTGCTTCGCAGACCTTGCACTTAAGTTGCAGCCCAAGAGAAAATTCCTCTTCATCAATGCCATGGACGCGATGAGGTCCATCGGTATTCCACCTTTCAGAAAAGAGGTTTTCGTTGGTTGCTGGAAGGATCATGAAGGGTGTCGGATGCTTTCCAACAGGTTGGGCAACGAATGTTGAAGGGGAAGAATACAGTGTGAGTGGGACCTTGTTAGTGTTTGGAAAGATGGTGCAGCGTGTGAGGGAGACCGAGAAGCGGGACGGTGTCAGTGAGACGTGTCCGGGTCTTTTTCGGAGTCCCAAGGAGCTGGCTGATGTGCTTGATGCACTGAGGAGCTGCATGAGGTAACTGAGCGAGCGTGGACAGGGACAAGGGCTGCTTGGTGGACGACTTCTTCCCTTGACCGTGGAGCGCAAGCAGTTCACCAGTCAACATTTTCCATCACTGGCCGGGTCTAGTCTACTGAATTGCGAAAGGGTCCTACCCAAGCGGGGAAGTCACCGTCCTTGAAGGGTGCCCATGCCGCTGGCAAAAGGTGGAAGATACTTGATACACACGAGTCGTATGTCAATATTGTTCATAGTCCCAGAGCTCCGCATTCGCTCGGCCAGGGCTCGGCGGCTCGGATAATGATGGCTGAGGTCTATATATGTATCCACCGTTGAACATTTCCCAGACTTGCTGCGTATTTAGCACGTACATTCCAAGTAGCCATCACGACTGGTGACTGACCAGGAATATACACTGCTAAATAGTTTAGCACTACCTGGTTGAACTGAGTATAATTATGCAACCAAGGAAGATTCCGGAATGAGCGCAACAGCGATGCATTCGCAAGGAGAATCATGCATGGAGGTTCAGGCTCCGAGGCTCGGCCATAGACTGAAGGAATAAAGTAATCTCGGTGTTCTTTCAGGGGAACGGCTGTTGCGGCAATGGCGGTCATATGCAATCATAATCCAAGACAGACCCGACGTAAAACGAGATGAAATGTCATTTTACGGTATTCAGAGACACACTTAGTGGAGAGGAGCGACTGGGGCACAGCTATTTTTTCGTACCCAACACTAGGCCACACTGAAAGAAGCGATAAATGCAGAGGTCGAATTCCCCAGGACAGTGGGTCAGCGAAGGGGCGGGGTGAATGAGATCAGACGTTGATCAGACTCACCTACTGTACAGAGCGGGAGAACTAAGCATGTGAACAAGTCACACTTCCCCGCTTGATTCCACGACCACTTTGGCTATGGGTTGGCCCTTAGGTGACCCCAAGTTCTCAATCTTATCTACTAATTCCATTCCTTCAACAACCTCCCCAAAGACGACGTGTCTAAACCTGATGTAAGCTTCGGGAACAGCACCGGGGACATGAATCACACACTTTCCATCGAGCCACGAGGCTGGAACAGTGGTAATAAAGAACTAATCTCACTAGATGAGGGGCAATAGCAAAACACGAATGAGGTTCGCACCTGTGATCCATTCGTGCTGTTGTTTATATTAGTACCTTCACACCAAACGAAAGAAATCGGACATAAGCCTACTTTGTTCCTGCATTCGCCATGGATAAGAGACCGGGTTTAGTGTGCTTCACCTTGAAGTTCTCATCTGCACAAGAATATATCAAACGTCATTCAACAGGGAGGAAATCACATACCCGCGAACTTCTCCCCAAAAATGGACTTTCCACCTGTACCATCGAATCTGGACACCAATGAGGTTGAAAATCCGGGAGATAAATTGCTCGACGAACCGAGTAAAATCGCCGCCTTGAATCATGACTGGAGATCCCCGTTGCCAATGTTCTGGATTAGAACGTCTATGCAACTTGGATGGTACTCATTACACCTACATTGCGGGATAATGCGATGGAACGGTGAGCCAGCGTACCCGAAGCCATGCTGTCCTGTGGCGAGCTCCCGGAAGTTCTGGGCAGTTCTAGGAACAATATCATCATAAAGCTTAAAAATAATGCGCCCAGAAGGTTTCCCATTGATGAGGATATTCATCTGTAAAAACCCATGAATGAAAAATACGGATTCATGGCTGCAATGGTGTGCGTGAGTGTGAGTATCTCGAATCACTCACAAAAACACGCTTCCTAGGAAATCCATGTCAGTTGATGTCACAGGAAATTTGAAATGATAATGAAAAAGGCATTCACTTTGTGCCAGCAGCTGCCATGATCGACCTTATTTCAACAGATCTAAGCTAGATCGAGTGTTTGGTGAGCGGCAGTTCCCGTGGCACATTCCCCTCAAACGTTCGTCAATTGTGATGCCACAGGTCACGATACTAAAGCGAGCAAGGGGTCCAGACGCAAAGAAAATACTTCAGAAAGACTGCTAAGGGGAAGATTGTCGAAGGTCGGATCTGTTAGAATTCTTGGTATCATGGCGTACGCTATGACCAACTCACGTTTGGTGATGTTGAGTCGTGTGGCGTCTTAGATTTTCGCCCATTACCTTTCTTGGTGACATCCGTGCCAAAGTCAGTGCGCATTCATAGCGCCTGACTATAAAAACCTAATCTTTGGACAACCCAGCCTTTCCTCAGTTCACGTACAACGGGACTGAGGTGAGTTGTTGATTTATTTTCTATCTCGCACAAATCATGTATTGAGTACTTGTACACCAGCGATAAATTCGCTCGGTGATTATTCTCCAATCTAATCTAGTTCACATACAACGGGACTGAGCGATAAACTCGCTAGTCCTCCATTTCGTCTTATAGGATCGGGCTTCATGTGGCCCTTACAGCCGTTTTCGGCTTAGTTGTCACGTGATTTGTTTTGGTTCCGCCTTGCCCGTTGCCCGAAAACATGGCTCAACAAAGAGTGCACCATATCTCAGCAACCACATAAGCTAGTCACTTGCGGTTTGCTGCAAAACGTTTGTACATTTATTATGCCCGGACCTTTTTTAGCGATAACGATAATTTCTATTCTTCATGATTTTAGGTTTTACCCCTTTTACACGATTTTCTCGACAACGGCTGGATAAAAAGGGCTGTAAATTGGGCGGAGATAAGTATAAATGTGTCCCTCGGGACGTTTTTTTTATTTAGTAAATGCGTTGCGTTTTGAGTTTTTTATCACTCAAACGTTTTCTTTGGTAATGGAAATCTGTTGTACATAGTTTTCTCATTAACCACTGTGTGGAATACAATGAAACTTATGCCGAACGCACTTGAGTTATATATCTCAGGACCCCTCTTTTTTAAAGTTAATCGG